AGTCTTCACTACAGTATTTCTTTTATATTTCTAGTAAAAATGTAGTAGTCTATAACAAAATAAGTACTTAAAATTACTACCAGAAGGGTTCTTTTGGAGATTTTAGTAATTTCAATAGTTGAAATCACCGTTGGATGCCGGCTCAGTAGTCTAATGTTTAAGCGCTCAGGCGCGAGACCGATAGGTCCTGGGTTTGAATCTCGCGGGTGGCGGGGTCGTGGATGTTCACTGCTGAGGAGTCCCATACTAAGACGAAACGGCCATCCAGTGCTTCCAGGTTTTTCATGGTGATCTAGCTTCAATTGACTCATGATTTCAACTTAAAATTACACCCATTTTTTATGATTTCAAGCAGTTGAAACGTTAATGGACAAAAAGTTGTACCCTGTTTACTTGATAATTGTCTACCGGTTATGTTGGTAAACTCATCCTTTTTTTTTTACGAAATCTTAAGTCATATCTGTCATTCTAGTAGCCAGAATAACGAACTATTTACTAATAATGCTTTAATTGAATATATATTGAAAAACTCTAATAGGATTTTGATTAGTAATAAGTGAAACGTAGTGCATTTTAGTACAGAATAAAATCTGCTATTCAGTAAACTGATTTGGATCTGGAAGCTTTACAGCTTAAAGGGGAAGCAACTTCAGGATATGATGAATTAAATTTGATGGTTACAGTTGACGGTTGATAGATTTTAGGAGCCACTAAGGAATACCGTTTGTTTACACTTAGTGACTAAAAATATAATTTAATTAGACATTTTGTTTATTTTTGAAGGGTATCAAGAAATACGAATAAATGTATCTGGACATCCATAAAATACACAGTGCAACTGAATAACGGAATAAAAATTTATGTTCTGTGCTTTGAGTTATACATTTTTTGTCAGGTTTATTGATACTATCCAGCTTCTTAGACTGAAGTAAGTGAATTGGAGTTCGAACTTACAACTGATGCATTTGGCTTTTCTGGGGATCACTCCCTCAGCCATTCACCTAGAGGTCTTATCTATTAAGCAATGCAGCATTGTTAAGAGATACTGTTCTATGTTACCTGGTAACGTCATCCGTTCCCACCGCTTTGAAACCAAAGTTATTTAACTTCCTTTGGGTGAACCATCTGTATACATAGACACAATTTTGTCGCCGAAATTCTACTTTTTGTGCTCTGAATTTTGTAAAAAACACGACGTGTGAATGCAGCTAGTGAACATTTTGAGAGTAAGAGCGAACTTTCCCTACTGTCGATTGTACTAGTTTAATTTGGAAACGTTTATAGAAGTGGTCCTCGAACCACATCAGTAGGGGAAAAAAGCCAGTAACTCAATTTATGTTATCCTTACTTTGCTAGCTAAAAATGTTTACGATCAAATATAAGTTATATGATTCGTTCACACACACACATAGAGATTGGCACCACCTACCATTGGTATTATAATCAGTTGACAAAATAAACCGGTCAATATAGCTTTTGGTTCATTTAATTGTTCTCTAATCATAATTGGATCATTACAACAACCGACAGATAATGCAAGCATAAAAGCAATTATTGCTGAACTCCAATCAGATACAATATAAAATTTCTGTGGTCTTAATAATACTGTTAACCATAGATAATTTTTCCATACACCATGACTTTTATCATCCTGTATTAAACTATTATTGTTACTATTCAACTCTTCTATTAATTTGTTATAATAATTCATTTGTTGTTTTGGTACATAAATTTTTGCTTCAGTAATTTTAATTTGTGTTTGATCTTGTATTGTAACAGTATATCCTTTATTATTATTTAATTGATATAATGTTTCTTCTTGTAATTGTATTTGATGTTGTCTCATACTTTCTGGACTAGTGATTGTTTTTGTCACTGTTGTTGTTGTTGTTGTTGATGTCGCTGTTGTTGAATGATTCTGTGGATGATAATGTTCATCAATGATATTTAATGAATCAGTTAATTTTGTCAATGATTCAATATGTTTTCTTGATGTACTATTTAACCAAATTAATGAAGTAGTAATTTGACTATGACCTAAATTCTCTGCATGTATATAAAATCCATTAGTTGTATTACATTTTATCTCTAAATATAAAGTAATACATAGAGAATTGTTATGATTATTATAAGTAGTACTATCAGTAGTATTTTCACAATGATATAAATGAATATTAGAATGTATTCTCTTAGAAAGTGATAAAGCAATCACATAACCATTAGAAGATGTAATTTTATACAATAAAGTTGTTGCTGTCTTATTATTATTATTATTATTATCATCTATTGACGATTGATTAATCCCTACTGTTTGACTGATAGATTGAGCTAATTGTGTTTTAATAATTTGTTTCCATTGTTCAGTATATTTACAACAACATGTACATGTTAATTCAATCCATTGATATGCACCTACACTTAATATCGGTGATTGAGAAGAATGTTTAAATATAGTATCTTCTTTATGTTGAATATCTGGTTTCAAACCTAAATCAATATGATAATCCACTGTACAATTAAGTGGTCTAAATAGATCTGATGATGATGTGGTGGTGGTGTTCATAATTGGTTGTTGTTGTTGTTGTTGTTGATGATGATGATGTAATGATGTATTACAATTTGAAATAATATAATAATGGAATATAATCATATAGAAAAAAGACGAATTAACTTTCATTGAATTAATCACCATGATCATTACAATATAAACTTTGTTATTGAATAAATTATGTTAACATATTAAAGTATCACAAGTAATGGGATCATAAGTAATGAGAATACTTTGCAAGTGAAGTGAATATTCTACTTTATAGTTGATATATACATATAATACTGCATATATTTAATCTCTCTCTCTCTATGTGTATATATATGTTGGATTTCTTGTACTCTAGAGAAATAGGTTTGAAGAGGGATAGATTAGACAATACATATCCAATAATCATAATAATAGTAGTATATTTCCCATGGTTTTGTATGGTTATCGGTTAATCAATATTTACAGTTTAATACTTGGGATATTAACCCTAACTCTTATTACATTCTATGTAGATAAATGATTGTGTACATTATCAACAATTTATATATAGATATAGATAGATATGTTTATTTTAATATGTAAAATTTGTAAGTTCCATTCAAACAAGTAGAATCATCGGTATGTTTTACTATCATGGAAACATGTTGTTCTTTTAGAAATATGAATGAAATAAAATTCATTTATAAATGAGTTGTGAAATGTTGACACTAGTTATAGAGTGGAATTTCCCAATCAAATATTAAATTTGTTTGGTAGTATTCCTTCCGTAATCACTGTAGTGATCCATCATCATATGTATCATATTCCAACATCAGCCAATCAGCTTGTTATTTGCATTTTTGTGTACCCTTCAAAAAATATATTTGATAGGTTCATCATTGTATGTCCAACTGGACAATGGTGGATAATTTTGTTTGTTGTTGAGGGAAATATCAAGAATACAGACACACACACATATATACCCATACCTATCTATGCTTATTTATGCACAATTTAGATCATGTTTTTAAAATGGTTATAATGATCCCATCGATCTAGAATGCATATATCCTTGAAAAAGTGATGACTATAGTTAGTGTGAATCTGCAAATTTTTTTTTGTAGCAACGTTTAGTCTTACTCAAAAAGTGAATACGTAAGCAAAAGCGGTGTTACTCAGGGAAGTAACATTTGTGCTTGATAAAATAGCATTTTGTTAATGATGTATCCAAACTCAGGATGAAACTCCTTGTTTGTTATCAAGATACCATTAAAATCAAAGTGTCTATGTACATGTCTTGAATATAAACCAGGGTCCTGGTTTCGAGTCTCGGTCGGAAGTCGTGAACACACTGCTGAAGAGTCCCATAATGGGGCGAAACGACTGTCCAGTGCTTTCAGGCTTTCATTGGTTGTCTAACTCAGATCGGTTCATGATTTCGGTGAAATCTGACATTCTCGAAAACCCTATACTGACAATACAAACTGATGTTCGGTGTGCTTGGTGTGCTTGATCTGCGCTATTCAATAATAAACTGTAGTCGGCGCTTCGTGTTGCCTTCTGGATTCATACATCGTTAGGATTTATTTAATAACGGTTATCGAGGTGATTGATATGCGAAGTCCAAGGAATTATCTCAAAGCCAAGGTACTACAGACTAACTGGTCAATAATAGTGATTAAAACAGTTTTAAATTCACGATGAAAGCTATAATCATATCTAAATAATGTATATTCTAATCGGTGGTAAGGAGCGGTAGTCACAGCTTAGGTTGATCAATATAATTCGATTGGAAACTATTGAGTAGTCAGTTAATGCATTTATTAACCTTCAGTCGTATGCAGATCACATTTGTGAGGTAATCAATTTTTATCAACTGTTTTTGGGATATTACTGCATATGGCCAATCACCATCTAAGTCGATGGGCTATGTTTCCTGATATATAGAAGTAAGTTGGAAGGAAGCTAGAGTGCGGCCAAATAAAAACACGGCGTTAGTCATTGTCCATTAAACTGAACCATGCGGACGAGTGCAAAATACCTGGTTAGAGTTCATGCAATAGTCGTAACCAATGATCAGTGACTTTGGATGACATAGCTCAAGAGTGGTTGGAATTGTTTATTCACTCTTTGACTATACTCTGATCCTAAGCTCGTAAATTATTTTATAGCTTTTTCTATTTCACGGACTCATTGTCTCGAATTACATGATTAATGCTTAACATTTTCTAGTACCACCATAACTTACTATTTCTACTATTTTGGGGTTCGCATTTACGATTTTTTCACTGTATTAATATACTATGGCGACTTGAACCAATGCACATATATGCCCGGTTATACGTTATGAATGACTAGTTGATTGACTATGTCTTATTCATTATTATTAAATACATTTTACAACCTGTTTTGCTGTATCAGATTATTTATCGTTGTGAAATTCACTTAAAATATAACCCCTGATTAATATTTATTTTTGTAGTAATGCGTCTTAATCGTCCAACATTTGTTATACAACGTTGTGAACCAACTGAACTTTATCTGGATGATATAGCAGGATGTTTAACAGCATCTGACGCAGGTATTCGTGGAGACCTTGATGGTATTGCGTTAAATCTTTTATCTGCTGGAAATATACCTCCCTCTTCAAATTCTCATGAATCTCTTAACTATGATCATAAATTAAATAACGACAGTAAAGATAATTATAATTACATACAACCAAAAGTTGGTGGATATAGTGAACTGTTAAGTTTAAATCATTCGTTTGGGTAAGTATAAAATTTCAAAAGGTAAACTAACAATACTTTTCAAAGTTTGCAATACTAAGCGACTATCCATTGATAGTAAGAAAAAAATTACTTTTTATTATTTTCGAAATTATTAGTTTAGGGGTCAACATTTCCAGTTGAAACTTTAAGAAATTCTCATAGTTTGTACATTTACTACAAATGACTGTAAAAGTTGTTGAAAATTGCATGATGTTGAATACCTTCTCTTCTATTTTGAATCCCTCATAGCACAACACACAGATAACCGCTTGCAAACACACATCTCTTATTCTCAGTTGCCTGTTGTTACGATAACTGAACTCTAAAATATTTGTTATCCACATTTATCTACGTTTGCATATTTTGCTGCCTGAGGACGAATTCCTCGAGATATGAATAAGACTTCTACTTGTGCGAACCAGACTCTTAAATTATTAGCTCCTTATGCTGGGAATCTGAATTCAAGTATAGTATTAACTGCACTTAAAATGGGGTCAGACCAGTTGGGTAATGAAGTTGGAGCGTTTATAGGGGACCTTCAATGTCACTAAGGTTATTGGGAGAGTACATCAAATAAAAAATAAACTAGCGAGTCAGATAAAATAAACAATATAACAAACAGAATAAACGTCGGCCTCACCAGATAATTGTGGTGGACCCAAAATTATATCAACTCCAAAAATGATAATAAAGTTATTACGTCCAAAAATTAATGTTTTAATATATTAAATATAATTTATAAACTCTAGGAAAAGTTACAAGACGTTACTTAAATTGACAGGCCTTGGCGTGTTCGAGCTGCATTTGGCATAATAATCCACAGTTATAGGTGATAATTCCAATAAAGGTTGTTATAATTCCAACGGTATAGCCAGATGGGATATTTAATGGGAATGTGACTGGTCTATAAATGTAGGTAACAAGTATTTTGGAGGTCAGTTATCGTAACAACAGGCAACTGAGAACAAGAGATGTGTGTTTGCAAGAGCAGTGTATTTGCAAGCGGTTATCAGTGTGCTGTGCTATGAGGGATTCAAAATAGAAGAGAAGGTATTCAACATCATGCAATTTTCAACAACTTTTACAGTCATTTGTAGTAAATATACAAACTATGAGAATTTCTTAAAGTTTCAACTGGAAACGTTGACCCCTATACTAATTAATTGGCCCATAATACCTTTTTGCGCTAGATTCGTTCATCAATTTGGCCACAGAGCATTTTACATTATAGTTGATGTTAGTTTATTACGAAAACCCTAACATCAAAGCCCCTATTACAATAATAAATATCTAACTTTATCTGGAAACAATATGACATAGATGAAAAATCTATTTGGTTCTTTTTAAGAGTTTAGGAAAACGGATAATCTGTCGTCATAAAGATACGTTTCTATATCATCTTTTTTCTTCTCAATTTACTGACAGATTAATCTCTCTATACTTTGTTTCCCTTCCCCCCTCATAAACTACTCATTTACAAAGATTTTTCTGAATGGTTAAAAAACTAATTAAAAATGAATCGCCCTTATTTTAAGTTCATCTCACCAGGAATACAAATGATAATTAAGTGAGAAACAAAAACAAAACTATCATTCCCATCTTATCTCTTTTTATTTATTTTATAGTACTATCTATTTGGGTGAAACATTCTCGGCACATATAAATTTACATAATGAAAGTAATCAAATTTGTTACAATGTTGAATTAAAAGTAAGTATGGGGATTTGTGAAGATTATAATATTTTCATAGTTGAATTTATAAGTCCGATCTAAGCTAGATTACCATTGAAAACTTGGAAGTATGAGACAACTGTTTTGTCTTTATTTATTTATTTGTTTATTTATTTGAACACATAAATATTGGTACAAGGCGGCGTCAACTATATATGCGCCACACAAAACAACGAGAATGGGAAGAGAAAAAAAGGAAGGTAAGGAGAGTAACAAAAAAGAACAATAACGAACAGATTAGTGTAAGGTAGTGTAATAATAATAATAATAATGGGGGAGACGGAAAGGTACAATCAGAAGAAACCCTTCAGTTAAGGAAGATACAACCACTTTTGTTATGAAGAAAGTAAAACGTTACAACAGGATCGCCACTGGCTTCTATTCTGAGCCATATCTGATAACGTCTCTAGCCACTGTGTAGCACCATCTCTCGGACCCCAACTCGGGAGTCGTGAAGGACCGACAGAAGCCAGTCCTTTGCAGCTTTCTTTCATACCACGACACCATGTCATGCACTGACCACCTCTCCGCTTCTTCCAACCAGTCCCAGAGTCGGCAAATAATGCACGACGTGGAATTCTCTGGGACGACATTCGTAGAACATGTCCAAGCCACCGAAGTCGGTGTTTCAAGATGGTGACACCGATTGCATTATCATCTCTGTGCCCGAACACGTGATGCCGAACCTCTGTATTACTAACATGGTGTTGCCACTGGATGTCAGCAATCCTTCGGAGACAACGATGATTGAACACAGAAAGTCGTTTAACATACTCAACTCAGAGAGGCCAGGTTTCACAAGCATAGAGCAGAACTGCTCTCACTGACGCGTTGTAGATCCGACCTTTTACAGCCAGCCTAACATCACAAAGGCGCCAAAAATGGCCCAGATTGGCATAAGCCGCTCTAGCTCTCACTATGCGTGCATTGATCTCATCACTCAGGCCACTGCCAGCACTTACATAGCTACCTAGATACACGAACTTTTCGACTACTTCTATCTGCTCACCATCCAGGGTGATTACAGGATTAGAATCCTGCCAGTCTTGTAGAAGTACTTCGCACTTCGGAGGTGCAAAGCACATACCGTACCTACGGACATTGATTGCCAACTGATTAAGTGCGGATTGCATGCCTTGGGCATTATCGCACAGTAAGACAATATCATCCGCATACTCAAGGTCGAGAAGTCTTTCTCCAGGCAACAGATCCACACCACCATTACTTACATTCATCAGAGCTGTTTCCAGAATGTCATCGATGGCGAAGAGGAATGGTGAGATTGGGCAACCCTGTCTAACCCCACTGCTTGAATGGAACAATGGAGAGAGGTGGTTGTATGCCCTCACTCTGCCTGAAGTGTTTGTATATAGGGCCTTTAAGATGTTGATAAACTTCTCAGGCACACCTTTCTTCAATACACAATCCCAGGATTTGATTTTCCTCGTTGTGTTGCGATTAAAACCTTTAATTAATCAGTCTTCATTGCGTTATGTACATCCTAGGCAGATCCTTCGCAATATAGTATGTAATTATTACTTTTTTTATAGGTTTGTATTACAAATGGGAATAGGGTAGAGGAAGCGCGTTTCGTTTGTTCTTAGAACTCATCGGCTGTATCTACATTTATCCTAGTGTTGATGTTCAAATTAAGACTCGAAGCTAGAACAAGTCTCGCTTCCTGTATTACACCATCATTTACAACCATCCCTAACTTGAGACAGCTCCTAAAATCTCTGAATGTGTAATAATTTCATCATTATATAATCTTAGGGAATTAAAAACCTAGGAAAGTTATGTAAACCGTATGTTTTTTCTGGAATGTATGAATTATAAACTAACCCTCCTTTATTTGTTAATGCCTGTTATAATTACTGATGATCCATAGTTTTTCGCTTCATCTAAATCTTGAATAATTTTTGTTACTTGTATTGTTGTTTATCTCTCCCAGTTAATATTTCTCAACTGTTTTGACTGATTCTTTACGGTCAGTTGGGTTAGTTCTTTATGGTTTGAACTACATTGTTATATATATATATATATATATATATATATATATAGGCTCCACGTTGCTTATAATTACGTGATTTACTGAAACAACTTGACTATTCTTGAGATGTCACATTATGTATTAACGATACTAAATCTTCATGGAAGTAGATACGAGGAAAAACTTATGTTGTGATTCTAACAGTTTACCCAGTCTAAATGAGCTTAAATGTAACTTTAATTTCATTGAGGTCTTTTTCAATACATCTATCATACAAGACTTCTCTTTTATCAAGTTGTGTAGGCAGACAGTAGGGAATTATTGTTGAATTGTTGTGTGTTGGTCATTCTGTCTATCCAATCCTTATAGAACTCATTTCGTATTAGACGAGTTTAACAAACTCTTGGTATTCAAGATTATCGAAATCAGTTACAATTAACAACAGTAATTGACCAAGTTTATTCAATACATTTATCGAAGAGATTAAAGAGAATTGATTTTCTGAATAAATTCTTGCATATAGATAGATGTCTTTATAATATATTGGAGTGTGTAATAAAAGAATGCTAACGTATTAAAATAGCCATGAGCTAACATGAGGAAAACGTTTTACATAGTAATGAAACTTAGAGAAAGTTTCACATAAAGATGAATTTTTACGGATAGAACAGGAATTCAAATTCATTACGTAATAAAAATGATTTTCAAAGCTTACAATATTGTAGATAAGATCATACTTTTGAACTATTAGTATCGTGCCATGTTTTTTTCCTCAAGGTTTTTGACAATTCACATGCTACTATCCTGAATTCCACTTTTTTGTTCTTGTTAAGATTCAGTCTGTACTACTAATTCATGCTCTACTGTATATAAGATAGCAACCGATGGTTAGAGACCTTGAATGACATGGCTCAAAATCGTTTGCAATGACGCAGGTGCATACACTCTTTGTGTTCTCCCAAATTTTAATCTCCTAATTCCTCCCTGTCTTTTTTCTCTTTCCAAATTTATTTCACTGGATTATACTCTTTAAATAACATCTCCAAACCCTAATCTTCCCGATTACTGCTTATACTCTTATTACCTCTACCACTACGGGATTTGAATCGACAACTGCATCTCTGTGCTAATGTGGTGTGGCAACTCGAACTGATGTACATACGTACGAAGTTCTGCGTTGGTACTGACTGACTACTGTATATAAATTTAAAGAAATATTTTAATGATATTAATTTCAGTTGAACTTTCTTTAATGGAGATTCCTAAGAATGTATCCACTTACCAATCGAGAATGAGTATAAAACAATCCTCTTCATGTATTTTATTATGTTTATTTTCTTAAATAATTGACAAAAATCGAAGCAGACCTAATGAAAAAATATTGCTTACTGATGTTGAAGTGCACATTTACACATAACAGCAGTGTATTCTGCTCATCTACGGACATCTTATGATGTTATATTACTGGGTATATGTAGCATTGAATTCTTTTAATCACAGTTTTTGAATTGAAGTTTCAGTACATACATAGAACCAGCAATTATTGATCTTTAATATTTGATTAGTTTGGTATCATATTTCTTCATTGCAATACTCTATGGTCTAAAATTTTTAATGTTAGATTGACTGTTAATCGAAGCAAGTATAGTATTTTCCGTAAGTATTGTCATTTCATTCTGTTTGTGTGTGGGCTGTGATACTGCCCGGGTGCCCAGACCGAAGCAAGTGGTTTTCTTAGGGGGCCACACCCCGAGCCCTCGTCCTTAAGGTCTGACCCACAAGGCAGTGGAGCATCGTGAGGAGGTGCAGTCCCATGGTAGCCGGTGACCAACGATTAGTTCATACGCCATTTGTTCCCGCAGGATATACTGGAGCCCATGTGCACCATTGGTTTGGGATCCGGTTAAAGCTCCGAGCATTCGCTTTTCGTCCTCATTTTCGTAAGCAACGCCCCCGCTAAAAGAAGGTAGTGAATAGGACTCCCCTGTATACGCGAGGCCGTGTGAGAGCATTTCGAGAGGGAGGGCGGGCCCACCCCACTCTCGGTCATACCAGGGCACTCGGGGGTTGTATCTTCCTTAACTGAAAGATTTCTTCTGATTGTACCTTTCCGTTCCCTCCATTATTATTATTATTATTATTATTATTATTATTATTATTATTATTATTATTATTATTATTATTATTACTATTATTACATCACCTTACACTAATCTATTCGTTATTGTTCTTTTTTTCTTTCCCTTCGAATTCTCTTTGTTTTGTGTGGCGTATATGTATTTGGTGCCCTCTTGTACCAATATTTATGTGTTCAAATAAATAAATAAAATAAAATAGTGCTAGATTTATAGCCTAGTAATTAAAACATAAATTGAAATCTCACTCCACCTATTTCAGTTTGAGGAACTGGATAAGATCTTTGATCGTTCATATAATTAAAGTTTAGATCATATCTCACATACATACACATCTTTAGTACATGAGTCAATTATGCTGGGTAATGGTTATATAATATATAACAGCTCACATGAAATTGAGTTTGTTCACAATTAATTCTAATAAGTCATTTTGTTAACTTATTAACGAATTGAGTCATCCTTACAACAACAACTTATCTATACCATTGCATCTTTACTACTGTGCGAATGTATGAACATGTATGATTGTGCATTGCCTACTGCCCACGCATTTACTCAGGCTGCTAACCTTACTATTAACCGCTCAATTGATTCATCCATTTCACTATGTATATATATTTCCATGTTATTCATGTTCATTGCTCTCTCACGCTTAATAGTACTGGCTTACTTCGTATTCGATTCGCTGACTCACTCGCTCGCTTACTTGCCTGCTTGCCTTTCGGCACAACTCTTCTATGCTTGTTTAACGCATCTGTAATTTGGGATATCTGTGTGTGATCCCTTAATAAACGTAATCAAAGCTTCGTATTCGCCTTCTGATTAATATACTGTCGGGGCGTTATATAGGACGGTTATCAAGACGAACTGTATACGAAGTTTGAGAATTATATTGAATACCGGCCACCACAAATACATCCAATTAGTTATCATTGAAATAAATCACAAATTATTTATATTTTTATCGTTTTTCTTCAGAAGGCATCTTATAGATTTCATATTCTACACTTTTTCTATACTTTTATTGCTTTTTACATTTATGAGTAGACTTTTACAGATAAACTTCTAAGTGTTAAGTCAATTTAATGACTTTGCACCGAAGTATTCACGATTTATAGATTGTACTGATATAGAATTACTTTTCTATATTGTTTACTAAAATAGATACTTTTTTTATAATTTAGTGTTTTGTTTTGATTATACTCTCCTTTCAATTCATTTATAAAGCAATAATGATGCACTGAAAGGAACTCCGTTCTTTCCTCTCGTGTATTTTAATGTGAATACAGTGGTCTTGAGTGCTATTAGAGGTATGAGGGTGGCTATCACTTCCCGGTTGCCCACACCGTGAAAGGGTTCTTCTGGAAACACCTGAAAAGGGAATTGGATTAGAGGTGGTCTTAGTGACCTGAGAGCGTGACCTCAGTGCCCAACGGACAACTGCTTGAGGTCGGTCACACACGACCTTTTTATGAGTAATTTTCGTGTTAGCTTCGTACTTGTTGAGACCTTATCGCCGGAGACGGATATCCGTGGGATAAGGTGAGGTGTGCATTTTTAGGGTCTACCTTTTTAACCCCACCCCTTCTTGTGGGAAGGCAACATCGCTGTCATGCTGGTTGTCTGGAGGAAACGCCTAACTGCTGTCACACCTCTGTGCAGTCAGCAGTACGACTTCGCCTTCGGACTTTGGGTTTGTTGCTTTTAGTCTTACCGCTCTTGAACCGACCTGTGTGACATGGTATGACCTTGAGGAACGGTTGTTCCAGACAGTATAGCTCGGTTGCTTCATCACGATGGGCAAACCCGACCACCACGTCAAAGTGGCAACAACGGTCGTGTTATGTAGAATGATGAAAAACATCTAGATAATTTACACCCTTAATACTAATGATATGAACATTATACTCGTTAAATAAGTTAGTGATTATTTGGAAACAGTAAATTTTTACATAACATGTTGGATTTTAAAGCAAAATATGCCGAGTTTGAGTCCCATTGTGAATATCAACTTTAGGATAAAGATACGTTCAAATGATAGGACACAACGCGCCTCCTAGATTTCAATAGTTTCTTTGTCTACATACAACAAACATCTTCATATTCAGTTTTTGTTTTCTTGCTTCACATTATGACTAGTATTATGTCATACATTAAAACTCCAGTTAATGTTTCTTTCTAAATAATAAATCACTTGGTTTTCAGTTTACATGGTAGTAAGATGTTGGCAGATTTTGAATGAAATCGTTGAGCTCTAAAAGGAACATTGAACAGATAAAGAAAGCCAAAATAAACCCAAATACGAATTTGTGAATCTCTATATCTGTCTTCTGTGTGTTGTGTAGCTTCTTGATATTAAAGATTGTTGTGACTGTGGCTGCAGATTTGACGGCAGCGTATTATCAATCGGACCAAAGACGCGTAAACACGTGAGAACAACCTAGAGTTCTGATTGATCCCGCTTCCCTGTCTAGCCCAGCCAGTTGAGTCCAGAACGCAAGTCTCAGCCTCTGAGATATGAATCATTATATTTCAAGCATACTGAGTTTATATACCAATCAAACCGACCACAACGTACCAATAAAATATGAAACAACATTTGTACAAGAATTAGCCAGATGTGGGTGTGAATGAGGGAGGTAGCGATTAACAGACGGGGAATAATCCATGAATGGTAAATGGTATAATAATAGTTCATAGGTCAAAATAACGAGCATACGGACTTGATAAGAACACTCGAGCAATTCAATACAGCTCACCCGTCCATAAAATTCACATATGAGAAAGAAAATGGGGGTAAAATAGCCTTCCTAGATGTTCTGCTTACAAGGAGAAAAGATGGATCGCTAAAAAGAAACATAAACAGGAAAATGACATGGACGGGTCAATCTACTAACTTTTTCAGTTTCGTTCCTCTACAAAAAAAGGAACCTTATCAAGACACTACATCATAGAATCAAGACTATATGCACTATGGATACGATTGAAGATGAAACAAAGACATTGTTTACAACCCTGAAAGAAAATGGATATCCAGAGAAATTTATAAATAAAAACTTAGTCAATAAAAGACAGCGTAGAGAATGTCCAACGGTAAATAGAAAGCCTCTATATATATGCTTACAATTCAGAGGCGACGCGCCGAGTGAAATGTTAAGACTTAAGTTAAGTAGATCAATTCAAAGGACTTTTAACGCAGCTAAACTACAACTAGTATTCTCCACACGACCAATAATCACCCCGAGGTTGAAAGATAAATTACCTAGACTAGCCACCTCCTTCTGTATCTATCAATTCAACTGCTCCTGTGGAGCAAGTTATATTGGCAGATGTTCTAGGAATTTGTACATTCGGGCTCGTGAGCACCTACCCGTGTGGTTAAGCAAAGGTGTTGTCAAAACTGTTAACAGCTCCATCTTAGACCATTTAGTCCAAACAGGACATACAGCCAACATGGAGCAATCTTTTGCAATAGTTTATCGTATCAACAGCAGTCTACCTAATTCCGTCAGACTGCGAATCCTACAGACGGCTGAAGCAATTGCTATTCGGATCAAAAAGCCAGAGCTTTGTATCCAAAAGAAGTATGTTCAGCCACTCCTTTTACCCTGGCTAACTAGCTAATAATCAATCTTATAATGTGGTGACATAACCTGATTAATGTTCATTTTATGTCCACCCTTGAATCTACTATATTTGACCTAATTATTTTACATATTACGCAATTTTCGATTTGTAATCACAATATTCTCTCTCTCTCTCTCTTACCCCATGTTGACCATATTTATTCTGATCATTATTTATCTCACAATTTTATTTCGCTTATAAACTGATTCAAGTTAACACTACTTTATATTAGTCAGCCCCAACATTAACGATTTTATTTATATAACAAACAATTCCTGATTCACATATTCACAATTTCCAAATGATGATGTACTCTCTGCCTTAAATCTGACCAATTTTATGGATTATTAATCTGGATTTATAATTGTCGAACCTGATGAGAAATTTATTGAAAAGAATATTCTCCGTTCGTACAATTATGTTTTCAAAATAAAGCTCACAATAAAAGGGACATGAATAGGAACAGTTTAGTTACATAACAATTATACAATTAAAAATATACTCGTAATATTGGTCCATAAATGGATCTCAAAAAATTGTCATTCATTATTCTTATCGGGATACAACACTTACCCTTTTTGAAGATTCGGAATTGATATCCGGATTTTAAATTTTCGAGTTCATCCTCCCCTGCGAAAAAGTGTTGGATCCTCATATACCAAAGTCACAACTGAGATGTTTGTCAGAAAAAATGCAATTAAATTGATCAATCTCAATTTGTTAGTCATTTTATCTCGAAGCTCATGAATTGTGTATTTTATTTCAGTCTTTATCTTCATTGAAGATTTTGATAATACTTTTGTAGTTTTTGTATCGAATATCTACTATGTGACTGATTAAACTAATCAGTGGTATAGGAGTAGGTTGGAAGAAAGCTAGGGGCGGCCAAACCAAAACATGGCACAAGTCCATGAAGTCACTGACAAGTGGACTGAGTCATGTTGGTAGGTGTAGACTACCTGGTTGGGGACCGCGAGATGATAGCAACCGATGGTTGGAGACCGTGAATGACATGGCTCAAAATCGTTTGCAATGGCACAGGTGCATCCACTCTCTGTGTTCTCCCAAATTCTAAACTTCTGAATTCTTCATGTCCCATTTTTCCTCTTTCTAAATTTATTTCACTGTATTATACTCTTTAAATAACATCTCCAAACACTAATCTTCCCGATTACTGCTTATACTCTTACTACCTCTACCACTACGGGATTTGAATCGACAACTGCATCCCTGTGTTAATGCGGTGTGGCAACTCGAACTGATGTACGTACGTACGAAGTTCTACGTTGTTACTGACTGACTGACTGAATCTGAAACTCTTTGGTTTAAATTTTAAGCGACTTATTTATTTGAATTTTAAGGTGGATTGGATATGTGTTATGCTAGAGATTCTTATTACAAATAGATACTTCTTTGTGATTGTCTAATCGATGATATCACCTTCTGCGTAAACTATAATCATCAGACTTGTTTCCTGTAACTATATATTGTTTTCCTTCGATATTTTATTGATTACATTCGTTTTATAAATATGTAGGTTGCTCTTCACAACCGTATCGAATCGATCACTTTACCGATATTCACTTCTTTAAGTGGTCATTCTAATAGTACTGTTGGTTCACGTAATTCTTCAACAAATTCAGAATCATCAAATACTCATACAACTCCAGGTCTGTGTAATAATGCTGGTGAAATCAATACTAAGGATAGTATTTTGATTTACAACCAGGACAATCATTGAATGCGATTATCAGTCATGAATTGAAAGAATTAGGCGTTCATAACCTGCGATGTACGGTCTCATATTTTCAAACTAGTTCTCACGGTAAATCAGAAAGTTCATCTCATGTGGTAGCATATGAATCTCCACGGTTAACATCAGGTTAGTGTTTATCTATTGTTATCTTACATGTACAATTATATCTGTCCACTTATTGATAATTGAAGCTTTCAATTTGAACTAAGCTCACGACCCATTCATATTTCAATTAAATTTTGCGTCTACGATTGATCACTGAGTTGTGACCAATGTTAAATATGTCAAGTCTTGCCTAATACTGATCAGATTCTATCGATTGAACCCGCCAAGAAGCAACAGTTTCTTCAACATGCTTTGAATATTTGTTACGCTGTTTACCTCAACCTCTTATGCTTGTTAGTATGATATATAGTGGATTAAAAAAGACTAGTGGCAACCAGATAAAAACAAAATGTCAGTTCAGTGAGTTTATTGACTTTCGGTTTTGTGGCAATGTCTGTCATTTGAAGCCATACCTCAGAAGTACATAAACCTCCTGTAGGATCTTTAGTTGAACACTACTAGTCGAGTCAGAGGTTATGGCAAACTGTCACCTGATTTGGCAACCTCAAGTAGTGTCTGGAATGGCTGTCTACTATCTTCATTTTTGTTCAACCTCATCATAGACCTACTGCTGGAGATAAAGTCCTCGTCGTTTAAACTTTCGGGAATCGATCTCCAACCGGGAGATCCACTTATTGATTTAGAATACATCGATGACATACACCTCTTTGGTGATGACGCTGATATAATGCAGTGTTTTGGTAGCAGGATGTTTGGAATTCCTTTGTTACCCTCTAAATGCAAGTTGTTGCTTCAAGACTGTCCTACGTGAACACCTGAACTAAGGATAGATAGTGAAGTAGTCGAACACATCGACTACCTCACTTATCTTGGGAGTTCGCTCAGCCAAAATGGGTTGGTGTCTGACGAAATCACTATACGGATTTAAAAAGTTTGTATAGCTTTTACCAACTTACGTCACCTTTAACGAAGGTGAGATATCCATCTATCAATTAAGAGACGAGTATGCTGCACGGCAGTTCGTATTATTTTACTATAGGGCTGCGAAACATGGCCGTTAAGTGTGAAGGATACTCGTAAGTTACTAGTATTTAGTCACAGATGTCTTAGAAGTATTCCCTGCAACTGTTGGGATCACCGGGTAAGTAATAGTGAGGTCAGACGCAGGGTATTAGGGAATGCTGTTAAATCAGTTGGTGAGGTTGTGGATTTTCATCGACTAAGATGGTTGGGCCACGTATTTCGCATGCTCAGTCACCGATTATCACGACACGCAATGCTGACTATTGTTGGAGATGGATGAAAGAATATTGGGGGCGGCCAAACCAAAACGTGGCATAAGTCCTTGAAGTCGCTAACCTCTAGTCTTAGCCATATTATTAGTAGATGCAGACTATTTGGTTGGAGTCCGCGGGACTCGTATCCACTGGTTGGAGACTGTGGGTGACATGGCTCAGAATCGATCACAATGGCGTAGGTGTATACATTCTTTGTCCTCCTTTAAACCGTGAGATTAAAATTGCTTCACATCTTTTCCTCGACGAACTAATTGTTTATCCCTGTATCATATCTTAATATGCGACCCTTTTTTACTCACTACTACTAGTAACTGTCTCTATGAGTTTGGTGTTCATCATGTTGCGCTAATGGAGTATGCCAACTTGGAACGATACACATATGTGCCTGGTCCTACGTTGCAGCTGACTGACTGTGGGTATGATCCACTTCATCGAGATGCATTGCGGTTCTGTTCGATGTTTTTAACTAATGGTTATTTATGATTATGGAATGTTAATTTTCATGGTCCAAAATTGGTTGTCGTGTTGTATTTATACTTTTTTATTGGAAATCTATTCTTTGTAAAAATGTTTTTGACTGTCAGTGGTACTATTACAATGAATTTCATATTATTATTCGTCAATTCACATTACTTTGTGTCTATGAGGTCTGGTAATTCATCATAATACTGGTCTTTAGCAGGTGGACAAATTCACATCATAACACTTGATGTTAATTAACTAAAATGTTGCTGAGTTCCATTGAGAACTTAATTCAATATTTTGTGTATTGCATCATAATAAATTAGCTTCAAAATGTTACATAATCAACATACTTATAGTAAGCAAAGGGAAAGTATCTATATAATACGTGAAATTTAATCTGTTACAACTTTAACTGATGTGTACATATGAATGTATATTACAAGTGAGATTTTTAGTTACACAGCGTTCTAGGAGTTGAACTTTCATCGGGGATATTCACTTGTTGACTTGGAATATGCCAATGATATAGTTCTCTTTGGTGAATACGCTGACAAAATGCAGTTTTCTGACCACTGTAAGCAACAATGCAAGTATGTTCGGTATACGATTCCCCCCCCCTCGAAATGCAAAATGTTTTCCTTAATTCTAATCTTCTGAATTCTTCATGTTCCCTTTTTTTCTCTTTCCAAATTTATTTCAATGGATTATACTTCTTGGATAACATCTTCAAAATTTAATCTCTCCGATTACTGCTTATACTTTTACTACTTCCACCATCATGGGATCTGTGTGCTAATGTGGTATGGCAACTTGAACTGATGTACATACGTACGAATTTCTACGTTGTTGCTGACTGACCGACCTAAAAATCGTAATTTGCTCTTGTTATTATTACTTCTTCCTTTTGGAAAAAGATTGTCTCCTTAAAATATCTTTATTATATATTTTGTTAGGTGTTTCATCTCGTGATACTATTAGTAAACGTGAACCAATTACATTTCAACGCTTATATAAGTTTATGGTAGGTTAAAGCATTATTTATATATTGAGTTATTAAATTTTGTAATTCCAAATTCTTATAAAAGTTGTTTATTTACAATAAACAAGTTTGATACCGATTAGCTAAGAAAGTAAACAATTGTTTCATGTATTATTCATCCTGTTTATTTGTTAAGCTGAATGATTGTACCGAGCCTAAAATATTTTGATTTGTTTTTGGTGGAGTTTTGTTCTCTGAGCTGGATGGTTTGGTCGTGGAGCTTTCATCGTTCTTCTGAACGACATCATCAGCACAAGTTTTAGGTAGAAGTGAAGTGTTTGTGCTGATGATGTCGTTCAGAAGAACGATAAAAGCTCCACGACCAAACCATCCAGTTCAGAGAACAAAACTCCACCAAAATCATCCACCTGAGCTACAAATCTTCTTCACCATTTTGATTTGTGTAGCCGGATGGTTTGTTTAGCTCTTATAGAAACAGTGTGGTACAAAAACGAATACCTAAATCTTTACTTGATAAACGATTAACTGAAATGACTGAATTCTACCATCTATTTATAGTCTTAAATCACTGGTAGTCAAATTTCTCTTTTAGGTAGGTACTTTGAGGTATAGCGTTGATCGAATTGAAACTGTCAAACTAAAGTTTTGAAATTAGTATGGTAAGACTTGTGGAGATGTTTCATAATTTAAAAATACTAATTGATCTTAGTTAATCTGTTACTGAAAACCTAGAAGCAGTGAATGTCCCTTTCGTCCTAAGGCAAGACTTTTCGAAGAAGTGCACATACATGATATCGCATCAAATTTACGACCTTCATTTGGACATTTGAAGGAATTTCACAAATACATTGAAAGAGAATCAATAGAAAATTTTCATTTGAAACAATTTTGGTGAAAAGAAAACGAATTAATTAGTTCTACCTACAGATTAAGGAAGTTATTCTTTAACTGTCATTTGAAAGAAAATAATGCGAAGTTTCCAGAAACAGGCTCTTACAATCCTAGAAGAGGATGTCGTTTGTATTTATACATCCACGTTCATGTACATTGACGAATTCAACTGCTCATATAATTCTCACTATTCTAAACTCAGCTTCTTATCACAAATAAAAGAATATTTCTCTATTTGGTTATCAATATAGTGAATTATTACCGATACTATTCAGCCACATGTACTGACTAGTCTATATATATATACATATAACTGAATACAGTTAAAATGGCATGTGCAAATGAACTGGTACAGTTATTTATATCTCCGTGATATTACAACTAGGGTATAATGTTTTTGTGATCATGAACTGATCTAAGTTGAATAATCACTGAAAACTAGGGTACACAGCAACTATCTCATCTTAGTATTGGACTTCAAATATAATGTGAGTGCAGAAATCTCGATTCGATTACAATCCGTCCTACTTACTTTGGAAGCATTCTTTTTAGGTAATGGTTATCTACTTTCATAAAACTAATAGTTATTAATTGATAACTTATTTAACAGGTACAGATTCATATACTTCGGGTCACAATCGAAATATTAGGGCCAGTGATAATACCCGTTTGCACAAATCACACTAAATGGAGTTTGGCTCGAGCTTAGAGCTTATTGACTGTAAGTCGAACACCTTGACTACTGAGCTACCGTTCGACTACGTAATTAGCAAATGTCCATTGATAAAAATAAATTCTACCTTAATTCTAATTGTACTTGAGATTATATTTAGTGTAAGGAATTGCTTTTCTCCTAGTCTAGTCAGTAGAAATACATTTCTTTTAAATTCTTTGCAATATTATCATTTCTTAATACATATATATTTATAGGTCAACAAACCTTTGGATGTTCGAAAGAAATTTTCAATAGTTGATGTAAGTCAAATGTTTCTTTTTGCTGATAGTAATTAGAGTTAATCATATTGATTGTATAATTTTGTGTTTCTTTATTATCCTGTTTGACAGATTTTAGTAACAACGTTAGTTCGTAAAATAAAATGCACTTTGTAAATTATTGTTTGTATGTTTTACTCCTTTTCTTTCCCTCTCCATATTATTATTTATTTATTTATTTATTTTAACACATAGATATTGATACAAGGAGGCACCAAATACATATGCGCCACACAAATCTCATTTGATATGTATGAGGGCTGTGATACTGCCTGGGAGCCCAAACCAAAGCAGGTGGTTTTCGTAAGGGGCCACACTCGGAGCCTTTGATCTAAATGTCTGATCCAAAAGGCAGTGGAGCAACATCAGAAGATGCAATCCCATGGTAGCCGGTGACCAATAATTGGTTCATACGCCATTTGTTCCTTTAGGATACTGGAGCTTATGTGCACCATTGGTTTGGAATCAGGGTTTTCCAACTCTAGGTGGACTCTCCGTGTCCACCAATCCGGCTACAGTACCGGACATTTGCTTTTCGTTCTCTCAATTTCGTAAAAAACACCCCCACCACGAGAAGGCAGTGACGATAACTTCCATGCTCCAAACTTATGTGTATTTAAAATATATAAAGCTCTATAACTGTGATTTTTAACACTTCAAAATTGAATATTAAAATGATGGACGCCATAAATATGACAACCTGACCTACGGATTAATCTTAATTGGACAGCCCCGGATATGTTACATCCTAGTATGGGACTCTTAAGCAGTTCACATCCGTGACTTTACTGGGAACCTATGAATAGCAGGTCTAACGGCAGCTAGTCAACTTCAAACGACTGAACTGGAATCTAATGGTCCATATATCTGACTCCAATAATTAAGCGATGTTGCTCGACTATCCTCTATCGCCTGCGGTGAAGAACTGTCTCGTATCCGATAATAGTTTATAGTCTAACTGTTCACGTATGAGACTGAAGATTCTGAATTCAGTCGCCGGTAGTGTCATGGTCGTCCACTGTTTCAGAGTCCCATACTAGTAAGAAACAACTACCATGTGCATCTTGACTATCAATCGTTCTCGAACTAAGATCAGTTTGTGATGTGAAGTATGAAAATTCCATCATCTCCAAAATTCCCTGTTCTTCTTTGCTTTTTATATTACTGAGTTATATATCTTCTTTAAGTTTTTGTTCTTTCGTTTTCAGTTAGTAGTTTAAATGTAAATAGCTTTTTTCCTGGGAAAATTAGCGAATTGGTTGTGTCTATTGAAAGATCTATTCTAATTATATTTAACCATAGTAACTAATGCGTTATTTTGTGATAACCACTCACGTCAGTCATTCCTTTGTATGACCTTTAAGGTTATTCAACCATTATAGTTCTCCTTCAGGCTGTATTGTATACAAAAGAGGGAAATCCCGAATTAATATTAGTGGAAAATTAGGTCAGGTTGTCATATTTATGGCGTCCATCATTTTAATATTCAATTTTGAAGTGTTAAAAATCACAGTTATAGAGCTTTATATATTTTAAATACACATAAGTTTGGAGCATGGAAGTTATCGTCACTGCCTTCTCGTGGTGGGGGTGTTTTTTACGAAATTGAGAGAACGAAAAGCAAATGTCCGGTACTGTAGCCGGATTGGTGGACACGGAGAGTCCACCTAGAGTTGAAAAACCCTGATTCCAAACCAATGGTGCACATAAGCTCCAGTATCCTAAAGGAGCAAATGGCGTATGAACCAATTATTGGTCACCGGCTACCATGGGATTGCATCTTCTGATGTTGCTCCACTGCCTTTTGGATCAGACATTTAGGTCAAAGGCTCCGAGTGTGGCCCCTTAAGACAACCACCTGCTTTGGTTTGGGCACCCAGGCAGTATCACAGCCCTCATACATATCAAATGAGATCTGTGTGGCGCATATGTATTTGGTGCCTCCTTGTACTAATTTTATGTGTTTAAATCAAATGAATATGGTTTGTGTTTATGAAACAAACATGAGTTCATTGAGCTTTTAACCTCATCTGTGTAGGATCAGTTTCACATACTTTGCTACAAATCACTTGATTTGATGATATTGATTAGGGTGAAACTGCTCTGTAAAGCCCAACTCTAACTATGCCAAAGTACTCCCATAATGGAAAACAAATATTTACAACGCATCAACGTGACTCATTTATCAAGTATAGATTTTTGTACACTATGTGTAAACGCCATTGCTGAAGAGCTAGATTCAGACTTTTGACGTGTTAATCGAAAGTTGAGTGGTTTAACCAGTAAGCTGCTACTTCGCTTATAATGTGATATTAATAACTAATGTCAGTTTCCCAAACTACTATGTATAATTCAGCAGTTGACTCGTATACCTAATGAAGCATAAATACTAAGAATATATTATACTGACGACCTTGAAACACCGAGCAGAACTAAGATAACCAATGTTAGGTATTAACTCGAATTAAAGAAGCTATTGTAAATAGCTTGTAACTGGAAACCATGTTTTTGATTATATTTCTTATTTTGTTCTGATTGTGTCCAATGGGTTTCATTTATTCCAAGCACCACCAGGTCGGATCTTTTCATTTTCGCAGGTTTTCGAATGATCGTCCCAATCTCTCACATTATCCGAACATTCCATGTACCTATATTAATTATTGCTCTAGGTTTTGGAAAGGGCATCGGCTTCGTGGCTTTAAAAGAATCTCAGCTTTCACCATGGAGCATCATAACTCTTGTATATGAAAGTGATCCTTCAACTCTTAAGGCAGATTTTAAATTACTTCGATTTTTTTCTGGTTTATCTTAGCAAGGTTCTCTATTACATATTGGGGTTGCTAACCCTACACCAATTCCTTCTATCTTACCTGGGTTTGGGACCAGCAGTAATTCTAGACGGTCTCCAGGTGAAGTTAATTTCATGGAATAATGCCATATATTAACCCAATTGACTTGATGTTTCGATTATCACTTATGGTCTTTTCCCGCGATAACTGATGTTGAATTGAATTTTTGACTTAAATTAACAAGCCAATCATATTTTACCTACACATTCAAATTAATAGGACCTAATCATTCAATAAGGGTTTATTTCATTTCATTATAAACAAAGATCATATAAACTCGTTATTAAATAACGTTTCTGTCAACATGTACTCCACATAATAGCTATATAGGACTTTGCGGCGTGCTTGAATATTTGGGCTACCTGTTCCTGTCATCTAGACATTTCAACAAGCTATCTGATTTCTTGTTTGTTTAAATATAATCATCAACCTATTCAGTCACTTTTATGAAATGTTCACAACCTTTCATCGTACAATTTACAAAAATGTGCAGTCAGAGACATTGTAGTTCCTGATAGTAGCATGCAATAAAAAGAATGAACATTATTTTGTTATCGATTCTTGAACTACTGTGGTGTGGGTTACTTATATTCATATCAGTAGTATATAACGGTGGACGGGCAGAGAATGTATTTCAGCCGAAGATCGATAAGGAAAGACTGGAAACGGTACGCAAGTGATATGAAAATGCATGAACAATGAAATCTGAGACAATGGACTGATATTTGCAAAAAGAGCAGTGAAGTATGAGACGACAGATTGATATTTTTCAAATTAACTATTTACTATATGATTCTCAGATTTTAGTAAGATGTTCTGTAATTTTGTGCTCAAACACATTCGATTGTCTTCACTCATGTTCTTGCTCACTACAACGCTAACATCTAACTAGTGAACACTCAATCTTTGTCGTCAGGATTGATTAAGAACTAAGAGAAAAGGAGACTTATTGAAATACTTTGTTCTGAGAATTCTGCATTATACCAAAGATATAATATTGAATAGAACCATTAATAATAATAATAAAATAAGAATAAGAATTTTCCAAATCTGTTTTGGATATATTTACTATGTCTGTAAAAAATCGTTCGTACTATTACGTAATGAGAGAGGTAGTATTTTTATTTAATTGTCAGTCAGTCTTGAGTGCTGTTAGAGGTATGAGGGCGGTTATCACTTCCCGGTCGCCCACACCGTGGAAGGGTTCTTCTGGAAACACCTGAAAAGGAAATTGGATTAGAGGTGGTCTTAGTGACCAGAGAGCGTGACCGCAGTGCCCAAGGGACAACTGATTGAGGTCGGTCACACACGACCTTTTCATGAGTAATTTTTGTGTTAGCTCCGTGCTTGTTGAGACCTTATCGCCGGAGACGGATATCCGTGGGATAAGGTGAGGTGTGTATTGTTAGGGTCTACCTCTTTTAACCCCACCCCTTCTTGTGGGAAGACAGCATCGCTGTCATGCTGGTTGTCTGAAGGAAACGCCTAACTGCTGTCACACCTCTATACCGTCAGTAGTACGACTTCACCTTCGGATCCTGGATTTGTTGCTTCAGTATTACTGCTCTGCAACCGAGCTGTCTGACATGGTATGACCTTGAGGAACGATTGTTGTAGCCAGTCTAGTTCTATTGGTTCATTACAATAAGCAAGCCCGACCACCCCGTCAAGGTAGCAACAATGGTCGGGTTTATTTATTTGTTTGGTTGAATGATTTATTTAATTACATCAGAGAAAAGTTATTTTTATTTATTTATTTATGACTTTCTAAATTTATAGGCTTTAAGTGAAATGTTTTATTGTATACGTTGTATAATTTTTATTATTTTTTTAAAATTCCTTAAATGACTAGGGAAATATGTTTGAGATACATTTGCCTAAACTTGTATATAAGGAGAGTAATTGAGGAAATTGAGAACTGTATTTATCTTTTGAGTTGAATCAGTTTTGTTGGTTGTTAGGTAACAGAGCCTAGATACAATAACAACAATGGAGCACCAGTTCCCTCAAGATATTAGGTACACCTTGCTGACGAGTACCAAGTAGCACGAAACTCGGGTCTTGGGTTTCCTGTTGACTACCTCCAACCACCATCTGATCTCAACATAGTGCACGAAATGTCGAGTCAACCTAAACTAGTGGCCACATTGCAATTTGGTCAATAGCATTCGATCTGCACTAAGAAGGACTTGACACACATGATGTTGGTCACCACCCACTGATCAATCAATTGTGATTACATCTTAGTGCTACAGGAGGTCGGTTACGGCCCGGTCAGCCCAGTGGTAACGTCTCTGACTGTGAAGCTGGGTAACTCGGAAGCACCAGTTCCCTCAAGACTACAGGTATACATTGCTGACGAGTGCCAAATAGCACGAAACCTAGGTCCAGGGTTTCCTGTTAACTACCTGCAACCGCCATCTAATAACAACAATGTTGATTCTCTTTTTCAAAGTATGATTCTGATACGATATCTAGTTAATCATAATATAGATCCACTTTGTATTATTTTTCGAACGTGCGACAACTTCAGGAAGGAGGTGAAATACATGTTCGTTGCATGTATTTAATCACAAATATTTATTTTGTAAATCTTACGAATAGAGGTCAGTGAATTATGCCAATCTCTTTTGGCGTTGGGTTTTTTGAAAGTGAAGTTAACGTTTGATGACACTGAAATGCTTGTCATTGCTTATCCAGAAATGATATTTTGGGTATCATAGTAGTATGTTAGTTTATAAAGTTAAATCAGTACGTAACATGTAGTTATTGACTATTGGCTTTAGCCTCTTGTTGAACTTTTTCATAAGTTCTAAACACTGAACTCTTGAGAAACTGACTTCTGTATCGACTTTTAGACTCTTACAATCTTCAGCACTTAAAACCCGAATTAAAACAAAAAGGGAGACATACTAAGTAAACATTAAATCCATTGTTAACTCAATTACATAAAATAAAGAGTATTCACAGAGTTACAATCAATCTTAAAAGTTTTAGAGGCTTTTCAACATAATGAAGTTGCTTTCTGAATATTTTTAACATGTTTTCCAATTAGTTTCTTGTTAATGTTATTCATATAGGGGAGTTTATGGAGATCGCTACATTTACATTGTTGACATTACGGACTAACCATACAATCATTGAAAACCTAGGAAGACTAGACAGTTGTTTCGTCCTAATATCAGACTTTTCAGGTGTTTGATCCCTAACAAAGTTGTGGATGCACACTGCTGAATAGTCCTATACTACGACGAAATAGCTATTTACTGATCCCTGCTTTTCTAAGATCAATACGTGCTGTTCATTATTCTAGTAAATATTTAAGTTCTTTCTTTTAATGATAATGAAGTTGGAAATGTTCTAGTTCCTACTTTCGCAAGAATACTATATTGTCTAACTGATCATTATCACTTTTAGTTTGCTAATTTCAGAATATCTCAAGGTTAATCTATGTTGCTTTAAGGCAAAGTTGTTTCATTATGAGCCTGTGTACATGTTTTTTTTCAAACAAATTAATACATCTTCATGATTGATTATCAATGTAAAATTCATCTTCTTCTCTCTTATTCTATCCACTTTGTTTTGTTAGATTGATCATAGTGTACTTATGGAAACACAAATTCAAAATCTCACTGTAACACCAATTATACTTGAACGTGTTTTATTCGAATCAAATCCTCAATTCAGTGTGATTGATTTAAATAATTTACAGTTTGATAAAAAGTAATTTTTCCTTTTTCATTTGTGTTCTTTTGTTTATGAATTGATTCGATTGATATTAATGATTGATTGAAATCAAAGTATTCTATTATGTGTTTGTTATTTCTTTTAGAGAGATATTCCTAGGATTATGCATTTAGGTGGGATAGATACAATATAGCTAGCAATACAATCCAGGATGCATATGTTATCCTATTCGATACTCGTTAGATGGATGCACTTGCATCCTAGAGTTGATACTTATTCCACCATTCGAGGTTATTATTGTTCGCTTCAAACTCCATCGTGTTATCCACCTAGCTATTGATTTCGAACAGCCACTTGTGAAACGGTTATGTGTTTAAATTCAACTTGTAATGGATTGGAATTATCCATTTGTCTGTATTTTTGACTGAAAGTTTATCAGTCTTGGCTGATATATGTGCATTCTGTGCGAGTCACCTCTCCATAGCCTTGATGACACAAGTTAGTAGGAAGCAAACTCAATGTGGTTAAGTGGGTAACACATTGGCGTTGAAGTGAACGGTACTGGGTTCGAGTCTTGTCGTAAATATCAACACTGGAATGCAAGTAAATCCAGCTAACGAATCTCAAACAAGGCCGAACTTACGTCATGGATTACACTGCTAACTTTAATCCGTCTATTCTATGCTAGCTTGTGCTATAATGGTTATATCGTTATTTGATGAATGACGCTGTCTGCTAAGCCATGTGGGGTTTTATGGTTTCTATTGGCTCTCACAGATCGACGTTAGTTATACAATCATTGAGAACGAGAAATTAGTTGACAGTTATCCTCTCCTGGCACAGAACGTCTTAACAGTGGACATCTAATGTCCCACTAGTGATCGAAGCCCCTTCAGTCATTTGTACATTCTGCAGTTGCATGATATTACAGAAAATAAATCCTATATCAAGTATCATTTTAGGTCGTACAACTCTTTCTGTACTATTTAATCATAAATTGATATTCAATAGTTATGATACCATTGATTTAAGTCAACCTTAACCTATATAGATGATAATAATGAAGCGTCTGCAGTATTCATTCACTTTGATATGTTTGCCTCGTTTCTCAGATCTCATTCTAACACTCCAACGTATTATTTACAACCGAATGATGTGCAACAATTTTTATACCGTTTAATACCGACAACAACCAATTCATCGCCTTTATTAAATCTATCATCTACCAATTCATCAATACCAACTTCAACTGTGCCTGATCCAATTCCAGTTTCTTCCACAACTACCCGTCAAGTGTCAATATCAGCTGGACGTCTAGACATTACATGGAGATCACTTATGGGTGAAAGAGGACGCTTACAAACAAGTTCTTTAAAATACGAAGTTAGTTCGATAGTTTTAAATCGATACTTTTGGATGAATCATTGTTATAATTAGTAAAGAATAAATGAAATGCGACGAGTGGTGGGATCCGGGATGCATGTTCCGTCCTTTTTTGGATCCGCCAGCTGGATATAATTCCATCCCAGGCTTGATGTTCACGTCTCAAATAGGATAAAACACTCCTTCTGGATTCCACTACTTGTCATAGTCCATTTATTCCATACTAAATTGTCACAATGACCATATCGAGGCAATCCATATAGGATGGACGTATGCTAAAGAAGATCGACTTAATTTCCGTCAAAAATATGAACAACGGGATAATTCAATCCATTCCGAATTGAATGACTGTGATACGTTTTCATGTATTACCAAACAAATGGATTATATGAATATGATCATATCACAACGCAGAGTTATGAACGTACAATATTCTAATGACAGTTTGCTGTATTCTTACTATTTAAACAAAACAATTAAATTAGTATTGGCTGACGTAAAACATCCAGTCAAAAATCCGTTTTATGCAGGTCGAAATAAGATTCAAACAAGCTATTCGTGACAATCATTCAATGAAATTCCATCCCACAGTTCAATATAACCTATGATACTCGCACCGCTACACTTCACTATAGAAACGTCTATTCATTCACCGAATTAGTTTTTGCATAATTCCTCTTGTGTACGCAATAGGTTTTAAAACGGTTTAAAAACTCCAATTGATAGGTTCCAGCTATGCAAGAAAGCTGTACAGGATTGGCATCTTTCTGTCCTTCACGACATCCTTGTTGGGGTTCTACAAAGATTACAACTCAGTGGCTTAAGATATTATCAAACATAACTTGGAATTGAAACTAGTAACAGTCCTATTATAATTTTCCTTTACTTTATAAAAGTAAGAGGAGCTTCTTTAACTGGAAAAGTTCTTTCCGGTTGTATTTCTTTTAAATTGAACTGCTTCTTCCATTATTTTTTTTACTCCTATCCACTTATTTTTGTTCGTTTATTGATTTTTTGTTATGCTAAGGGCGGCCAAGTTGAAAGACGACATCAGTTTATGAAGTTACTGACAATTGGACTTATCCCTGTTAATAGGTATAGACCACCTAGTTGGGTTCCACGTGATTATCGTAACCAATCGTTAGAAACTTTGAATGACATAGCTCAAAATCTTTTGCAATGGCGCAGATCCATCCATTCTTTATCTTCTCCGAAATTCTGACATCCTTAATCTCTCATAATTTTTCTGTTTTTATTTCGTTAATTTATATTTCCTTTTTGAGTCCTATCTTCTGTACCTAGTTTTTTCGATTACCATTGATACTGTTACGACTTTCATTATTCTTTGATTTGGCCTGACAATTTCATTTTGGTGTGCTAATGAGGTATGGTAACTTTGATCAATGTGCATACGTGTACGTTCTACATTGTGACTTACTGATCATTTCAGCATAACTGAACTTCATTTTGTTATTGATGTAAATGTATTCTGTATTGGTTTTTGTCAAACAGATGAGACTGCTCTGGTTTTCTTATTTTGAAACGTAGTTGCCATATTGGTGTTCTAGTGAGAAAGTAAAGCTCTCGTTTTGCCAAAGATAACATCACGATCAAGCTAGAAGTATAAAATTATGATATAATCGATAGTAATAAATGTTTTGGGCGGGAATCCTTACTATCCAATAGATCAGCATTGAAAACAACTCAATTATAACTTATGTAATGTAATATCTCTACTTGAAACTCATTAGAGATTAACAATGAAATTGGACAAGATTTTTTTCAAATGAAAGTACTTTTTTCTCTTTTCCATATCTTTTCAGCTTCCTACTTTTGGTGATATTCAGTTGAGGGTTTTAACTATTCCATCCACTGTGACAACAGAACAACCATTCACATTAAAGTTTGAATTAACTAATTGCAGGTATATCACATACTTTATTATTTTGAATAGTAGTTTAACTCTTGTCAATTATAACTACTGAAAATAATAAGAACGTTAATGATATAAAATGTTATTTATTGATTAATTATATCAACTGATGTTTACCGGGATTATTCACTTGATTTAACTATATACAACTATCATTCATTCTCTTTCCGGTTAGTTATAATTACTTTGATAGACGTTAACTAATCGATGTAAAGTACGTTGACTCTATATACATAAATATGCCTTTATGTAAATATCCATTCAAAAAGGGCTAATGAAAAAGAGCCCTTAATAATAAGGGTGACCATCAAAAAGGAGCATATAAATAAGTAACATTTTTACTCATGTGAAATATGCCCGGTTTTCTCTTTGTTCCTTTATTCTACGATTAACGCCAAAAACGTAATTTACTAAACCCTTTGATGAAGAGTCTACCTGTAACAAATACTGTAATTGTGCAATTTAGTATTAAATTGTTTGTTGTTTTTTACTACTTTGGTCATGTTATGTCTCGTATATATATTTCGAACAGCCAGGGGATCGTCTTTTTAGAAGGATATTTCGAGTCCAGTGGAACTTAATAAACTTTTATTGTATAGATTGTGTTGACATCTAAGATTATAAGAGTCAAATGCTTAAGATAATCAATTTTTGGACCGATTTCTAAACTCTCGTTAATTTTTCCCAACTGAACTGTGAAATGAGATAAAAACGTGGAAATTTGAAAAAAAAGAAAGATTTACTTCCAAAATTAATACAATGACAGCAAACAAAGTATCATATGATTAATCTTGTATTGATTGTTTGGATCGTCCCATTGATGTTTAAGACTGCAGTTGATCAGTTTCTTATTGGTATATGTTTATATTGTGCAGATCGCTACGATATTGCATTAAGTCACAAGTATTGTTAGCAGCAGAGATACATGTTGATTAGTTATGGAATCCAGGACTCATGTTTCGCCCTATCCGTGACTCATCAACTGAAGCATTCATGTAAAAATTGAAATTTACCTGAAAAGACACTGATTGAGGTGAAATTATTTTAGGCACTGTACACAACTCCCTTGCTCTAATATATTATTGATATGTAGATGAAATTTTCTCAGAATCCATGAATTATTCAGTATGTATTACCAAGATTGGCTTTTCTGAAAATTACTTTTAAGAGATTACAATTGTTATATATCACTATCTAAACGTATTGATCATGAAATAATGCAGTAATTATATGATGTTGAACTGTTATCTTTGTTCTACTTATGACGTAAACGTTTCTAATACAATGGAACGAACCTACCCCACATGAAATATAGAATATGTAATAATGTTGTGAAATAAGAGGGGAAAATGTCATCTAACCAATAGAGGTAGGTAAGGAAGGATAGTGTTTAGTAAATAAAATGCATTTGGAAGAAAGAGGATTATTAATATTCAAAGTAATTAATAAATCAAAAAGTTGCTACGTTGCGTAATATAAGAATCAAAGAAGGAACGGAATTTTAACGGATAGGATAGTAGTTGCGTAAAAATCAAGAAATGAATGTTGAGAAGTTATAAAGTTCAAACGCAATAGAAACAAAATTACAAAAATTAAAAAAAAAAGAAATGGAAGAAGTATGGAAATTAGTTCTTATGACGGAAATCTTATACTGAAGGCCAGGGCAGAGAAAGTGGTTGTACGAATTTCTTTTGGATGCAAAGGTCAGGTTTGTGAACATGGATTGCGATGGCTTCCGCAATGTGTAAAAGGTGCACTCGTAAACCATGTGGTAGATTTGGTAGAATATTGTAGATAACCTTAAAAGCTTTATTCAATTCGACTTGACCTGTGTCAACCAAATGCATTTTATTGAGGAAAGTAATCTACATAGATTTCTTTCAGTTGAGAAGGTTCATTTTAAAGTTTTGAAGAGTACAATAGAAACCTGTAGACGAATTACCACCTGTTTCTACTGTGAGATAACTTCTTGATAATTTTATAAGTCTTTGAGTTACTTTTTTTTAAAGTCCTCACCTAATATGTTGTAACGGACCGGTGAATGTCAATCCTGCACAATTAACATTTGATTCTTGTTACCATGTTATAAGTTGACTTCATTTACTTTTTCCATCCAGTTCAAACATCGATACTCACACTTTTGATTTTCTCGTTTCTTGTTCTCTAATTTCTTCATTTTAATCACCATCTACCTCGGCTCACGATGCTGGTTTCTGTCATGGTAGTTTGGAATAAGGCTAGTAGCAACTAAAATAAAATATGGCGTCAGTCTCTGAAGTCATTGACATTTGAACTTAGGTATGCAAACAGATATGGACTACAATTAGTTGGGGTTGGCGCGATTATCGTAACCAACATTTGAAAGCGTTAGGTGACATGACTTAAAGTCGAACACAATGCGGTTTTCTCATTCATTCTATATCTCCAACTAGATCTTGAGTTTCAAAATTACCTCATTTTTATTCCATAAGCTTATTCTTTTTTCTGGAATGTCTAATTTTCTCTGTCGTTACTATGTTCCTAATTCTTACTACTCTAGGATTTATAGTGATAGTTTAATTTCTCTATCTTAACATGGTATATAACAAATTGACTATTTCTTCAGTTCCCCTCTCGTTCAGTTATAATCTTTAACACAATTCATTTGCTTATCATACATAATTTAACTTTTGTTTCATTTTGATGTTTGTTTTTTATTACTTATACAGTAAAATGAATTTAGACTTAATACTTAGTTTATGTTCAACTAAATACAATGATTCTTCTTCAATTCCAATTCAATCAATCATCAATGAAAATGAAAATACCTCTAATAATAATAATGATAATAATAATTCAATTCAATTAACAAATAGTTATTTACCATTGATTGTTTGGTTAAGTAAAACTAGACAAAAACTTGGCAAATTATTACCTGGTCAATGTATTCCATTTGAATTGAATTTAATGGCTACATTACCTGGGTTACATGTAAGTGAAATACAGATTAGTAAATTAAAGTGTGTAGTTTTGTTGCTCTCTATGATTTTTTTGTTAGTTGTCTGTTGTTGTTGTTGTTGTCGTCGTCGTCGTTGTGTTATTTTCCTTTCATAATGAATACTTGTTACACGTATCTATAAAGGTCATAACATTTTGTTCTAATGAAATCGATAGAAAATTATCTCTTAAATACACATATACATTACATAAAGTTTATTAGTAATATTTACCCCCACCCCACCCCCAATACTGGACACATTTCTATATCTAATCCCCTCTGTTTATGTAAATGAATTTAGTGCATTGGGTATATTTTTATTGACTTAGTTTACAGTGAAGAATCAATATGTAATTCCACTTAAAAGTAATTTGCTCTCATTAAAATATTAATAAAATATCCGAAAATTTTAAGAAAAACAGGTCGTCATGGAAAACCTGGAGGCACTGGATGGCCGTTTCGTCCTATTGTGGGACTCCTCAGTAGTGCTCATCCATGATCTCCCGTCTCGCGAGATTAGTTGGAAGTTAGACATTAACACCATGGGATGCCGGCCGGCTCAGTGGTCTAGAGGTTAGGTACTCGCGCGTGAGACTAATAGGTTCTGGATTCAAATCTCCCGAGACGGGATCGTGGGTCCGCACTAATGAGGAGTCCCATACTAGAATGAGATAGCCATCCAGTGCTTTCATATTTTCCATGATGGTCTAGCTTCAATTGACTCATGTAATACATAGTAATTCAGTGATAATTAGAACAAAGATCGTTTACTTTTCAAAATATAATTGATATCGTTCACTTTAGATTGTTATTGTCGACTCGAAATTATAATCACCAAAAAAGTCAACCACCTAGTTTCTTTCGAATAGTTTATAATTCTACATAGTAACTCATATCGACGGTCAATAAGTTTACGATTAATGCCAAGCTCGATCATACCGAAATATTCTCTACTTGTCTCGTAATTTAGCTGGAATTAGATGTGTGGGGATTAATGGCTAAAAAGTTCGGCTCATTATCATTAGGTCACAAGTTCAAACACCTCAACACTTTCCGATTGAAACAGTCAGGTTGTCGCACATCCCCCTCCTCCTGTATTCTTGAGTCAGCGAATAACGTTTCTTTATTACCTTCATTTGATGTGACAACTTGAACAAATGTCTATTTATTTTTTGCTCTTCATTTCATAGTAACTGATTGACTGCATATCTTGGTTAACAGTTAGTGAATATCTATGTTGTAATCCTCTTTATCTCAGTCCGTTTAGTATTAAAAACTGATTAACCTGATTTCTTGTACATTTGCTAAATGATGATTCTACTGTTACATGAGCTGAGGCCACCAGTGATTACATACATTTACTAAAACGTGCTTTAAGTTACCCATAATGGTCGAATAATATATTCCCTTTAAGCTAAAATCGCTTACTTTTCAACATCACCTTACAACTAAATGTTATGTGATTGAACTTAATGGCATAAATAATCTCAATTGTGTGGTAAACCTGAACTATGAGGACGAGGCAAAGATGAACTTGCTAATCGCTTCAAGGTTATGGTACATATATCGAAATACCATATCGTCAATGGAGATTAAAATAGAGGAATCTTCCTAAAGAACTGTTGATCACTAATTTTATTCCGAATATTTTAACTCAGTAAAAAAAATCTTATCATTAACGCTATGATGCTTTTTACGGCCTTAAAAGATTTTTAAAGTGATATCTGGAAATTTAAACCACTTATTGGGTTCAAAACACAGTTAAGGTTCTCATCACGAACTGATATCAACCATAATGGAAAATTTCTTTGTTGCAATATAAATCATAGTTAATGTCAGTTACCAACTGACCCGAAGTTGATTCTGAGTTCTAATCTCAGCATTATAAATCATTCATTCAGATTTAATTATTTTCTAATTGACTAAATGAGCTAAGAATTTGCTACAGTTGTTTAACGATTCGCTCAAGCTCACACTTGTAGTTTGACTTGAAATCTTATTACACTCAAATTTTCATGCTGTGCTTATCAATCATGGAATTGTATTGAATTAAAATCTTTGGCGAAAACCTCTTATTGATCACATAATGTTAACACCTGCTGCCTTGCACTAGTCCTATGTACGGTTGACTTCACCTTGATTCTACTCCAGTAAATTTAAGCTATTTGATGAGAATATAATTTATGGATGAACCAATCCGAATCAGCATAGTGAGTCTTGTATTTCGGTACGAAGCTCATCTACCCATATGCTAAATAAGATTTTGGCATTACAATTGATGTCATTTCGTGATGAAAACCTTAACTCCAATTCCTATTCCCAACTTTGAACTGTAAATCCCGATTCTAATTTCTCACACTGATTTATAATCCTCGTTCGACACTGGTAATAGACTGACTTTTTTCAAGGTCACTTTGATGTTTTCCATATATTATGGTCTGATCGGTTAGTTAGATATTCTCGTGTCCTCGTTACTTGGACATTTAATTTCCTTTTTTAAACATGTTTTAGAAGTGATGGTAAACAACAGCTGGATTTAAGCATAAATTTTTATATTTTTACATTCTACCACATAACCTCAGGTCTTCTCTCCGTCTCGCCCACTTTTTCTCTTTTACACTCCTCCATATACACACCCATTGTTTTGTATTTGAATGTCAGCCTGACATCATTGTCAATTATCAGTAACACTGAATATTATTTATACTATGAATATTGATTGTGTTGTCTTATTGACGAATTGATCAAGAAAAAAATACGAGTAACAATCAAACGGATATTGTGATGTTGAGTTTTCTCCTAATAAAATGATGGTATTGATGGATTGTGGCTAGCAGTGGAATCCAGGACGCGCGTTTCGTCCTATTTGGGACTCGTCAGCTGGATGTATCTGCATCTGAGAGTTGATGTTCACTCTGCGACTCGAACCCAGAGAATATTCGCTTCAAACGCCATCGCATTATCCAGTCAGGACGAAACGCGCGTCCTGGATTCCACTGCTAGCCACTATCCATCATTGCTTACAAAAAGCTTGTGAATTAAGGCAATATCGAGGCATACGCACATTATGCACATATGCCACTAACAGACTGATCAATTGCAGTCTTAAACCTCAATGGGAAGATACAAGCCAAACAATGCCAAGTGAAATAATGGTATTATTCATGTGATTTCATCGTTTACTTGTCTTTAATTGTTGGTAGGAATTTAGTATACTGATTCAGAAATAACAAATCATTATGTAATAATTGTCTTTATATATGTTTATTGTGTAGACACTTCCATGTATATCGGTATAGTTGGATTGATCATAAAACTTTCAAGAAAGTGTCTTAGTCGTCAAACGAAGAGAAAAACTTTCACTACATGGAAAGAGTGGTATAGGCAGAACACTTAACGACTAGACAAGGAGACAATTTAGATTGCACAACACACCGCATGATGCAAATGGATCATCGAAAGTTATGTACAGATACTATATAAACGCTTGGTAATTTCCCATATTAAATATTGATTTCTTCTATCCATTGACTTGTTTGCACTAATACTACGACTACTAGCGATAGTAGTGATGGATCATAGATTCGAACTGTGGTCCACTTAGCTATGTTTAAGCGACCGATCTCGTACACAATTGAAATGTGTGCCTATTTGTATGTACATTGCTCAATGTCGAGTAAATAAACTTGTATTGAATTACAAATTTAAGTGATGTACCATTCATTTATGATGATGATAATAATAATAATAATAGTCTTTTCTATTGTTTAATGTTTTTTTCTCTCTCTTTGTATCAGATGATTTCCGGTTTATGCATTCATGACTTAACAATGAATCGTGATTATGAATTTAACAATTTAACTCATGTTCTTGTTTTTACCAATAGTGCTGTTTCAGCTTAATTTCCCTCTTTCTCTCTCTCTCTCTCTCTTCATATCATCTTCATTGGTGAATACTATGCATAAAACTAATATATCAATAATCACTACAATGTGTATTACAGTTTTGGGCTTCTTTTCTTTTTTCTTCTAAAACTAGGAAAGAAAACTATTTTGTCTTATCTAATTATCCCTTTACAATTAAAATATTGTTGGGGGTTTTTGTTTGTTTGTTTTATTTTTGTTTCTCTTTCACATTTACCTTTTTCTTTCATTTTATGTAACATTTATGTTTTCTTTGTTGAAATTAGACTTTAGATTCATTATTATTTATAATTTGTAATTTCATATTATGTGTATACAGTGATTTATTTTGTTATCAATTCAATAAACAATGTTGTTTGTATCTACCTACAATTGATATTTGAATAGAATGTTGCTGGGTTTCCCCCCCCTCCCTTGTTTGTTTGTTTGTTTGTTCATTTGATTGATTGTTTAACAATTAAATCTCATTTATTCACTCAGTTTTTTACATAGTACCAATTCATAGGTTTAATTTGAACTGTTCAGTTATACAAATTATAATGGCTTGGGTTAGGATTTTAACCTGCAATTTAATAATTTAATGAATACGTTAATGCATTTACACTATCCTAAAGAGTAGATGATGACTTAATTGTTTTATCAATTAATGGTACTACTTTACCTTATACTACAGTTTACTGATACTGGCTTGATAAATGTTTCATATTGATCGATAATTTCTTTGGAAGTGAAAAAGGAACTCAAAATAGTTTACTGATAGTGTTAAATCCGGCGAGACTATAATTTATAGATGAACCAATCAAATATAAGATAAGAAATCTCGGATTTTGGCGGGAAGTTCACCTATCCGTTTGGCTAAATAGAGTGTTGGCATTATAGTTGATGTTAGTTCGTGATGAAAACCCGAAATCTAATTCCTAAGTTTAATTATCAACTGTATATTATAACTCTAATTCCTGACACAGGTTCATATCGAGATTAAATGGTGGTTGGAGGTAGTCGACAGGAAACCCTGGACCCGGGTTTCGTGCTACTTGGCACTCGTCAGCAAGGTGTGCCTGTAATCTTGAGGGAACTGGTGCTTCCTAGCGGATTCGATCCCGTGTCACCCATCTTCACAGTCAGAGACGTTACTACTGAGCTATCCGAGCCGCTACTGACCTTCTGTGGGACTGAGATGTAATCACGATTGATTGATCACTAGCTGGTGATCAATGTCATGCGTGTCAAGTCCTTCTTTAGTGCAGATCGAATCTAATTTCAACATATAGTGCCCGCAATGTCGAGTCATCTAGACTGGGGGCCACATTGCAACATGGTCGATAGCATTCGATCTGCACTAAATAAGGACTTGACAGGCATGACATTGATCACCATCCAGTGATCAATCAATCGTGACAGGTTCATATCCCTCATTTAGTCCTGGTTATTAAGTAAACACTGTCAAGGTCAGTCTAGCGTCGTTCAAAAGTCGTCCATAAATTATAGTTTCACCTTAAAACTTATTCAAAATCATTTCTAGATTTGATAGAAAAATTAGTACAGTTAGAATCCTACATTTCCTTGTGTTAATTCTTTTGTTTTTTATGACCTGAAAGTATAACATCTACCTTTAATTTGACTGCTTCTATAAATAAGGGAAATAAAATGACACAAACGTTTGGTGAATGTTTATAAAACAAGTCATAATCAACGTAGAGCCTAGGATTTACCTTAGAGCATTATTCCACGTTGAGATGACACATTAACAAAACGAGATGTAATTAACATAATGAGTAACCAAAGAATCAAACTAATTGTAGTAGGTAACGTTAGTAAAAGGGATCGCTTTGAGTGAATATGAAGATGTGTTCAGCTCAGTATTAAGATGTTATACCTTGTGCCCTGTGTCCTTATTAATGCCTAATGTAATGATACCGCCAATTAGAGAATAGTGATTTATCGACCGAACCAATGACGCATAAAACAAGTACTAGCAATCTAAAATCCTTATCGGTACTGCTTCCCGCCTAGCCCAGCCAGTTAAGTCCAGAACACCAAACATACTGGGTTTATATACCAAACAAATAGACCATATCGTACCATAAAATGTAAAATAACATTTGTACAAGATTTAGCCAAAAGTGTCTGTGAATAAGGGAGATAGAAATTGATAGTCAGGGCATAATTCACGAATAGTAGATCGTATAATAATAGTTCATAGGTTAAAACAAATCTTATGATAAGAAGAACACGAATATGAATACTTTAGTTATTTAACGATTATACGATAAATATATACGTATAGTAATAGTCCAGAAATAGATCTCAACAGTTACCACTCATTATTCTCATGGGGATATAACAGAAGATAGTGAATGGATTTACACTATTTTAATTAATTTATTTAACATCTCTAATCACTGATCACAGTTATCATATAGAGCCTAATCAGGTAGTCTGATTCTATCAACATGTACATAAACAAAATTAAGGAGTTAATAAATGCCTAGATATAAGCTTTGTTTCTGAAAGTCGTAAATCATTTACTTTTAACAATTGGTCAATTCTAGTAGTCTAATGTTCGATATGATAGTTCAAGTCATTATGCAGTGAATAATTCATCTAATAACACCTAATAAAAATAATATATTTGTTACAATCAACCTAATGCTCAATTTATTTGAAATTATCAAATCAAACCTTGGTAATGACACCTAATAACACCTAGTCTATCATGAGGAATTCTTCACTTACAATTATACTGTATGTTATATCTCGATAAGAATAATGAATGATAACTTTTTGGATCCATTTGTGGACCAATACTATGCGTATATTTTTGTCGTATAATTGTTAATTAACTAAACTATTCGTATTCATGTCTCTCTTATTATGAGTTTTATTTTGATCTATGAACCATTATTATACGATTTACCATTCTTGAATTATAACCTGTCTATTAATTACTATCTCCATTCATAGCCACATTTGGTTAATTCCTGTATAAATGTTGTTCATATTTTATTGGTACGTTGTGGTCGGTTTGATTGGTATATAAATCCCGTATGTTTGAAATAAATGATTCATATTGCAGAGGCTGAGATTAGTGTTCTGAATTTATCTGGCTGGGCTAGACAGGAAGCGAGACTAATCAGGACTCTAGGCTGCTCACACGTGTTTTATGCGTCACTGATCCGATCGATAAGTCAGTGCTCTTTAATCGGCGGTCACAATTTATAACACTGTACCTCAACAAAACTGTCATTATATATAACATTTAAAAATTGATAAAACTCAGTTGCTAACGTTATAATAATCAAGTAACTAGTTTTCAAATGATTGCTAATTCTTATTTAATTTGTATTCATTAGTTTTGCAAGAACATTTTATCTCTTCATTAATTCTTATCAATAAACATTATTTATTATACTAATCGAGCTTGTACGAGATAATAAGGTGGAGATTCTTTTCTAGAAATCAATCTCTAATATAATTGAATGATATTTACACATTTAGTTTAATCACCAACTCATGTTTCCTTTTTGTTTCAACTAAATACTTAGGAACCATTATGTCTTTTTATTTCATTGGGGGAAGATGAGTTTATTTGGAGCATTCAATAAGTGTGTTGTAACTTTCAGACATGTTTGGTTTATTTATAATCAGTAGTTGCTATATACCAGACCGTAATTTCCGTAATTCATTTCATTTTAAGCCATAACTTTCACGATAAATGTCTTTATAACAATCGAATGCATGAATTTACTGAAACCAGACCACCATGGAAAACCTGGAAGCACTGGATAGCTGTTTCGTCCTAGCGTGGGACTCCTCAGAATTGTGCATCTGTATGAATCCAACTATGAAATTACTATATTCTCTACAATCCCCCACTCTGATAAAAATATATTTTTGATAAGGGATTTCAGACCCCGTACACTGCACTGAACATCTTCATAGTAAACAATTGAGGATAACTCCAGTCATTGTTGACATAGATATTCACCATTATATATATATATATATATATATATATATATATATATATATATATATATATATATATATATATATATATATATATATATATATATATATATATATATATATATATATATATATATATATATATATATATATATATATAGTGGTCTAGAGGTTAAGCGTTAGCGTGAGAGACCGGTAGGTCCTAGGTTCGAATCTCGAGAGGTTGGATCGTGAATGCGCACTGCTGATGAGTCCCACAATACGACGAAACAGCCGCCCAGTGATTCCAGATCTATATATATCGTATGAAAAACAGTCTATTCGCTACTAATTAGTAAATCAAATATTTCAAGTTACATTAAAAAAACAACAACGTGAAACTAACCAATTTTTCCTCTATGATTTATTATAATTCAATCTGTTGGCTAAAATATACAAATAGAAAAGTTACATATGAAAAATACGATTCAATAACTAAATTTGATTTGCAAATAGAAAACAAAAACAACATATTCTGAGAGATATATGGTTACCATTAATTACCTCTGTTTTTTTTAGAACGTAGAATATGGTAGAATAAGACCAACTTTATAACAAGGATGAGTTAAAAAGGAAAATATCAACTTCCTGTATGAAATTTACTTCTTTACACCTATTACCTGTCGTGATGAAGCACAGGCTGTCCATCAATATGCTTCATACAACTCTTTACTGGGCAATCCTCAGTTGCTATTCATCCTTTTCATATCTGATTCCAATTCTCCATGTAGTGTGTTCTTTGGACTTCTTCTTTTTCGTTCCCCTTCAGGATTCCAAGTTAGGGCTTGTCTTGTGATACAGTTTCATGATTTCCTCAATATGAGTCCTATCCACTTTCAGCGTTTTTTCCTAATTTCCTCTTCAGCTGAAATCTAATTTGTCCTCTCCCACAGTGGGCTGTTGCTGATAATATCCGATCACCGGACATTCAGTATCTTACGTAGACGGTTGTTTATAAATATTTGTACTCT